TAATGTAAATGAATAATAGTAGGAGTAAACATAATTTCTATGTTTAAAAAAGTTAAACAGTAGAAAAAAAACTTGAAATTCTCAAGAGACCACTTGGTAATATTCACTAGAATGAAGAACTATTTATTTATCGAAACACATGAATATTGTTACAAGGAGGCACCAAATAAATATGCGCTACATAAATCACTCGGTTTGTGTGACGGCTGTGATACTGCCCGGGTGCCCAAACCGAAGCAGATGGTTTTCTTAGGAGGCCAATCCCCGAACCTTCGACCTAAAGGTCTGATCCACGAGTCAGTAGAGCATCGTAAGGAGATGCAGTCTCATTGTAGCCGGTGACCAACAATTGGTTCATATGCCATTTGTTCCCTCAGGATACTGGAGCCCATGTGCACCAGTGGTTTGGAATTAAGGTTTTCCAGCTCTCCTAGGTGGACTCTCCGTGTTCACCAATTAGGTTATAGCGCCGGACATTCGCATTTCGTCCTCTGAATTTCGTAAACAACGGTGACGCCGCGTGAAGGTAATGAGTTGGAATTCTCTTGCAGTGGCTGTTTGCACGTGGCCATGTGAGATCATTTCGAGAGGGTGAGCTGACTTCCTACCGTCGACCGTACCAGGGCATTTGGGGGAGAAGATATCATCACTCAATCGGTTGATATTTAATAAATATGCTTTAATGAATCATTATATTGAGAAAATTACTGAATCAGCGAGGAGCTACTTGGAAGTAAATAAAAAAGATTACAATACAAATTAGAAACTGTCATATTTTACGGTCTAATTTTACTAAAGGATGATTAAATTTTTTTAAATCGATAAAAATTATTACAATATATACCAGATAAATGTCTATGGTGCGAATCACAAGATTTCTAGTCCAGTGATATACTACTTTCCCTAACAAACCTAATCAATTGACCTAATTTAGTTAAATTTAGATCAACCATAGTGATTGATTAAGATAAAACTCTGTCAGTCTATAAGTAGGATATATATTGGCGTCATATATTTAGTTTTCATACAATTGAATAAAGACACAATGGTACAGCAAATAAGTGATAAGTGAAGCCAGTATCTCAACATAGTGTACAAAATGTTTAGTCACTTAAACGAATGAATACACTATAACTTGATCTATAGGATTCAAACACTACTAAAAAACCAAATATGCACGATCCTAGTTACTACACATTGATCAGTTAACTTGAATATCTCATTCCTGCAGGAAGTCACTTTTATCCGAAACAGCTCGGAGATAACATCTCACATTGTGGAAGCTGGAAGACACAGGCTCAAATCTCATCAGCACCACAAATTCTTTCAGGATTGTAAGTGAAAGTTACTAACGAGTGCCAACTAGCACAAAGCGTAGGTTTAAAGTTTTCTGCCAACTACTTGTAGCCACGTAACAATCATAGTTCTAAAATTTGTTAAAATTACTTAAACACTATTTGATAGGTAACGTAGACAACTTCTAAGTAATAGATTTAGTTTATAATACAGTATGGAATATGTGAATTTTGACAGTGAAAATATTCAAAATACTAAGATCGAAAGTTAGATTAACATTCTACGTTTACTGACTTGAAATAATCGGTCATTCTTCACAAAAAAAACCTCCGGATTCCAGGATAAGTACTTGTTTTATGTATGTAACCTAGCCTTTGAAGTAAAGTTCCTTTTATGTTTCCATTTGACGCTTAAAATTCAAAATAATATGTGTGTCTACGAAGGAGCTAAAATGTAAGTATTTAAAGGGTTAAAAGTATAAGTGTTATATCCTAGCGAAGATTGAATTACGAGTAACTTCTGAGAACTATTAGTTGACTAATATTATCTATATATTCTTATTGTATAATTATTCAGTAAATAGATCGTGTATATCTATATTCATCTTATTATAAGTTTTATTTATTCTGTGCGGCGCATATATATTGGCGCTCTCTTGTACCAATATTCATGTGTTCAAATAAATAAATAAAATTATTTTGATATATAGACTATTATTATACGATTTACTGTTCTTAATTTATGTTCAGTCTATTAGTTACAGTTTCACACGTTTACAACCACATTTTGGCTTGATCTTGCATAAATATTACTTCCTATTTTATGGTGTAGTGCGCTCTGTTTGGCTGGTATATAAACCAAGTATGTTTTGAAATAAATGATTCGCATGATGGAAGCTTTTATCGGCGTTCTGGACTCAAGTGGACGGGCTAGGCGGACAAAGAATTAATAGGGACGCTAGGCTGCTCATACCTGTCGAACGTCATTGGTTTGGCACAATGCTAAGATTGTATAAATTGTATTTCGATTGGCGGATAAATCACATGATAACTAGCCGGGCCTAAAGTCACAACAGTAAGACTTAATACTACTTCTAAGTAGAACTAAGCTCAATTTGTAGAACTTATGAGTGTCAAATAACATGAAACCCATGTCCAGGATTTATTGTCGATTACTTCCACACTCACCACCTTACATCTCAACATAGAGTCACTTAGACTAGTGGTTATATTCCGGCTTGATCGATAGAATTCCATCAGCACTAAAGAAGGACGTGATCTCCATGAATCTGGTCGCCATTCAGTGACCAATAAATTGTCGACATATATCATAAAAGGTAATTTAACGGTTTATTAGTAGTATGAACAGGAAGACAAACGTATTATTTGTTTCTATGATTTTTAATTTCTACCTCTAATCAATCATTTATTATCTAATTTTTAAAAATCAAGTTGCCTAGATAATTGGAACACCTAGAGTACTTCATTATTTAGTCTAAACAATGAATAAATTTTATTAAAATGTAGATAGAATTTCAATATTCATACACAACCCGAACGGTTTAAAACATGCTAATCAGTTTAACAATTGGTAGTTGACGTGAACAGATAAATAAAGAAGCCATGACAAACAACGGAAGCTATTATTTAAGACGTTATTTCAGCACGACCGTTGTCGCTACCTTAACGTGGTGGTCGGGCTTCCCTATCGTGTTGAACCAATCGGATTATACTGGCTGGAACAATCGTTCCTCAAAGTCCTACCATGCCAGATGGGTCGGTTGAAGAACGGGAAGACTAGGAGAAACAAACCCATGGTCTGAAGACAAAGTCATACTGCTGACTGTACAGAGATGTGACGGCAGTAAGGTGTTTCATTCAGACAACCAGCATAACAGCAATGCTGCTTTCCCATAAGGAGGGGTGGAGTTAGAAGAGGTCGACCCTAAAAATACACGCCTCGTGTTATCCCACAGATAACCGTCTCTGGCGGTAACATCTCAAGAAGTACGGAGCTAACATTAAAATTACTCACAAAAAGGTCTTGTGTGACCGACCTCAATCGGTTGTCCTCTGGGCACTCTATTTTTCTACACTAATTCCCAGTTTGGACATAATTGTATTTTTCTAAATATTCGTGCATCATGGTCATGTCAATCATCTTTTACACAAATCTGAGTCGGAGATCAGGATAAATCGAGTGGTGTTGTAGATGGCTCGTCTTCTCCTTCTATATCTTCCTCTCGCTTGTTAAGCAACCAGGTGATAGGATAGTTTTCGCCTCTCTGACCAAGGTCGTTGCTCTGGATTCGGACTCCCAAGTTTCTGACCCTATGCCTAAGCCGGCTAGCATCTAGTGTCAAGGCCTTAATCCACATCTAGACACGTTTTCCCTTGCATATTATTGGGTGTACAAATCAAGGACGGAACAGTAATATAGTGCTGCTAATTCCTATAAATCAAATGAATTTAGTTGATTGTAAGACTGAGAAATTATGAAGATTAATTCTGACAAACCATTTAAATTGATAATCGAAACAAAAAGGTGCGAGAAAATACTTTAAAAGTATTACCTAAACTAATCATTCAGTAATCGGAAATCTATCGTAATACGAAAATACGAATGCTATACGAGGTATAGAAAAAGAACAACCGGAAACGGAAACAAACTAAGAATACACTATTTTATGAAGGAAATTTATCTCAAATACATCATGAAGGAAGTATGCGATAGCCTAAAGCTAATGTCGTTATTGTGAGATCGACACTCATGAATTCGGACCTTAGTCACTTCAGGAGAGTTTTTGAGACCAGAATGAAATGTGTGTTTAGCTTCCCGTGGTTGTCAGTGATTATCTTGCTGAAATCAGTCTGTGATAAATGATGATAACTGATAGTTATTATAAATGTGATCTGTAAAGTTTGTATATTGAAGGAACTAATATTCTTCATCGGATTCCATACCGAATCACCTAGTTTCATAGACTGAAACTTGTTTAGCAGACTATACTTGATACAAATGACCTCCCATATAGTTAGAATATTTACATTAATTGATGAGTGAACAGCAACGAATATCATGTTTGTCTAATCCTTTGGTAATGACTAGATTACATTGATTTAATTGAAATGTTACCATTAGTCTGAATGAGTGAACACCATGACTGAACTACATTGACGTAATTGATCGATAGAAGTTGGAAAATATAGCTTTTTTTTATAAAAAACTAGAAAAACATGATATTGATCATTTTTAAGTGGTCATTTAAATGTCAACTCTTTTTTGTATAGATTTTCCTTTCAATCTTGTGTATCATTCGTTTCAATAGCTCTACATAATAATTGTAGTAAATATAATTAATAAACATTAATCTCACGTTGCGAGATTCGAATTCAGAACCTATCGGTCTCGCGCGCGAACGCTTAACCTATAAACCACTGAACCGGCATCCAATTGTGGTCTATAGGTTAAATGTTCGCACGCGAGACTGATAAGTCTTGAATTCTAATCTCGCGAGGTGAAATCATGGATAAGCACTGATGAGGAGTCCCATACTAGGACGAAACACCTGTCCAGTGCTTTCAGGTTTTCCATGATGGTCTAGCATCAAATGACTCAAGATCTCAACAATTGAAATGACTACATTCTCCACGAACCTCCTTCTGATATATATATATATTTATTTATTTACTCATATTTTATAGAAATGATTCCTGTAGATAAACAATATCATCATTATAAAAAACATCCATGTGATTATATTGTACAAACTAATTACATAACAAATGAAACCAATGATTCAATTAATAAATCAATGAATAATTCAATACAAGATAATGCAATTAATTCAACTGGAAAATCTAAATTATTCTCAATGATTAATTTGTCAAATTCTAAAATGTTAAAATCATGTAAAACTGAAAAATTTCGTATAAATTTAATCTTACGATTACGTAGTATATGGTCACGTTCATCATTGAAATCTCAACGAATTGAATCGAAACATATTCATATGTCTTTTATAAATTATGATCAGAATCATAATCATTATCATCATCATCATTATAATCCTCGTCATCATCATCATCATCATCGTCATCATCATCAGAAGCAAAAGCAGTATCATCATCAACAAAATTGTCCATGTCAATCTCAATCTACTCAATCTACTCATGATTCATTGAATAATCCATTAAAAGTAGAAAGATTAAGTACAAGACAAATGATTGACTATTCAAATCAATCTAATGATAATATACAAATATTATTATCTCGGAAATATCATTCTGAGAGTTGTTTATTTCATCCTTATAATATGCATAATTATATACATAAATGTTCACATATTCATTATCATTATGATTATAATTCATGTTCAAAATCAATTCATAATCAAATAAGGAATGATCATAATAAACTTTCATGTCAATTATCTAACATAAAATTACAATCATCATATATTAAACATTCTTTAACAACCGGTAATATATGTTGTTTATATACATTGAATTGTGTACCATCACTTGAATGTATAACTCAACCAATATCATCAACAACATCAGATTTAATGTCATTGTCAGCATCATCATCATCATCAACATCAGCATCAGCATCAGCATCGTCATCATTATCATATCGACAACATCAATTCAATCAAACAGATTATAAATGTTCCAATTTACCAAGTACATCAATTATGTTAAATACAAGAAATAAATGGAAATTAATATCACCATTTGAAAAACTTAAATATCATCCATTCTATAAAGATACACATTGTCATTTAGGTAAATGGATACAACAAACATTAACAAGTAATGAGATGGATAATAAAGATCAAGATAATAATGATAATAATAATAATAATAATAATAATAATAATAATAATAATAATAATATTAATTATGACAATGAATTAGACAATGAAACCATGAATAAGAATCATTCTAATAATAATAATAATAATAATAATAATAATAATAATAATAATAATAATAATAATAATCAGTTTATAGATATTACAAATTATTTAAATTATAATAAACTATCGGATACTTTAAAACATGTACATTTTGCTGATGAATCCACTTATTCATCTTTAACAACATTAAATTCATTATCAAGATCATCATCATTAGGTTCATGCAATTATACTAATGATTCATCATCCCCTAAAACATCTTATTCATCAAATCAATCTCCTACAGATAGTATAATAATGAATGATAAGTATACAATAAACCATTCATTGAAACGTACTATATCTAGTCCTAAAATGAATTCAAATAAAAATAAAACACCATTAGTAACAGTGAATTTATTTCATGATGATGGAGAATTACCAGAATTACCTCTACGTGTAGTTGATCGATTGGAAACAGAAAAAGTAAGCTTCTAGTATATACATAAATTACTTATGCCTGTTATCTTTCATGAGCCCCTAAATGCCCTGGTACGGCCGAAAGTGAGGAGAGTTCGCTCTCCCACTCGAAATGTTCTCACATGGCCAAGCGCATATAGCCTCTGCCAGAGAAGTCCTACTCACTTCCTTCTCGTGGCGGGGCTGTTGTTTACGAAACTGAGAGGATGAAACGTTAATGTCCGGTACTTTAACTGCGCTGGTGGATACGGAGATTCCACCTAGGGGAGTTGGAAAACTCTGATTTCAAGCCAATGGTGTACATGGGCCCCAGTATCCTGAAGGAACAAATGGCGTATAAATCAATTATTGATCACTGGCTGCCATGGAATTACATCTTCTAACGTTGCTCCACTGCCTCGTGAATCAGACCTTCAGGTCGAAAGCTCCGAAAGTGGTCCCCTAAGAAAACCACCTACTTCGGTTTGGGCACCCGAGCAGTATCACAGCCCTCGCACATATCAAATGAGATTTGTGTGGGGCATATTTATTTGATACCTCTTTGTACCAATACCTATGTGTTAAAATTAAAATTAAAAAATCCCTCATGGAGTAGCATAGGCTGTTCACCAACCTTCTTTACCCAACTCTGTCTTGATCACTCCTTTCCAGTTAGTTCCAGTTGTTATTCATCTTTTTCATATCTGCTTCTAATTGTCGGAGCAATGTGTCCTTTGACCTTGTTCCTTTCCGTTTCCCTTCAGGATTCCAAGTAAGCTCTTGCCTTATGAAACAGTTTGGTAATTTTTTCAATGTGTGTCCTATCCACTCGTCTTTTCCTAATTTACTTCTCAGCTGAAATTTGGTTTGTTCTCTCCCTTAGTAGGTTGGTGCTGATAGTATTTAGTCAACGGACATTCATTATCTTACCTAGATAACTGTTCATAAATACCTGTACCTTTTTAATGATGGTGATGGTAGTTCTCGAAATTTCAACTCCGTACAGTAGAATTGTGTTGACGCCCTATTAAAGACTGTGACTTTGATATTGATTGACAGTTATTTTGAGTTCCATACATTCGTCAATTGTAGGAACGCTGTCCTTTCTTTGCCAATCCTCGCCTTTACATCTGCATCCGATCCTACTTGTTCATCGATGATGCTACACAGATACATGAAAGCTTCCAGCTCTACCAGAGCTTCTCCCCCAAGTGTGTCTGGGATGGTGTTCTCCTTGTTGCATTTGAGGACATTGATTTTTCCCTTACGTATGTTGAAGCCTATTGTTGGAGAGGCCGCTGCTACACTGCTTGTCTTCATCTGCATTTGTTCTTGTGTATGTGATAGAAAAGCTATGTCATCTGCGAAGTCCAAATCATCTCATTGATTCTGAGCTGTTCATTGTATTCTGTGCTTTTCCTCCGATGTGGAGGTCTTCACAGTTCAGCAAACTACGAGAAGAAAGAGAAAGGGAGAGAGTGGACAAATTTATCTGACTTCGGTTCTCACTTGCACTACATCTATCAGCTGTCCTCCATGCAACACGTGTTACGTATGCCCAACCACCGACTGCCTCGACGTGCGATGTTTTAAGGTGTGGGAGTAGGTTGGAAGAAAGCTAGGGTCGGCCAGATCAAAACATGGCACAAATCCATGAAGTCACTGACAAATGAACTGAGCCATGTTGGTAGATGCAGACTACCTGGTTGGGATCCGCGAGACGATAGCGACCGATGGTTAGAGACCTTGAATGACATGGCTCAAAATCAATTTCAATGGCACAGGTGCATCCATTCTTTGTGTCCTCCCAAATTTTAATCTTAATTCTTCAAGTCCCTTTTTGTCTCTTTCGAAATTTGTTTCACTGAATTATACTCCTTGAATAACATCTCCAAACCCTAATCTTTCCGATTACTGCTTATACTTTTACTACCTCTACCACTACAGAATTTGAATCGACAATTGCATCTCTGTGCTAATGTGGTATGGCAACTCGAACTGATTTACGTACGTACGAAGTTCTACGTTGTTACTGAGTGAGTATAGTTCGTCACATGAATTTCATATGATGTGGACTATTTTCTCAGGTGCACCATAGTATATATATATATATATATATATATATATATATATATCCACAATCCGGCCTCGCAAGACTCGAACCCTGGACCTTTCAGTCTCGCACGCAAACGCTTAACCGCTAGACCATTGACCTAGCATCTAATGGTAATTAATGTCTAACTTCAACTAATCCACGAAATTGAGCAGCACATCCACGATTGTCTTCAGTGTGTTATTATCTCAAAATAGACCCGGTTGAACTCTACTGGTCACTGCTTTTCACTACAAATTTAGGAAATACCTCCTGAATCTAGTTACTAGTGAGCATATGTTGATTAGTCCTAGAAGGGGTTTCTGTGGATAATATAATATATTTCATAGTTGAATTCATGAATCAATTGAAGCTAGATCACCATAGAAAATCTAGAATTCTTTTCAAACAACTCAAAATAAATTGTGTAATATTTTTCATAGGATGTATTTTTAGTGTAAAATTTGCCACCAAAAATTAAAAAAAAGTTTTATATTTAAAACAAAAGGGATTAAAGTACATCTCTACATGGTGTTACAAAATTTGTGTTTAGGTATGTTTGTGTGTGTGTGTGTGTGTGCGTCACGTTTTTTTCACATCAAATGACAATAACTATCGGAAGTTCATGTGGTGTTCTCTGTATTTCATTGTTTTATTGTATACAATAAACAAACTGAATATCTAAATAAAGACTATTGAATAGACTACTGAATTATATAAGTTTATCATATTTTTAAGAAATAAAGATTTTTTTCTGGTTAACGTTTTGTTTAGCGAGTCAGTTTTCTACGAGATGGGGTCGCTAACCCCATGCCCAACCCTTCTCCTTTGTCCGGGCTTGAGACCGGCAGCAGCCCCATAGGGACTCCAGGCGGAGTTAAGAAATAAAGATATCTAAGAAAAAATATTTTAGTAAGAAATACTTTAGGTACTAAACTAGTACTAATAAGTTGATTTCTAGATGACATTTATTGTTTATTAATCTAAAATAGAATATGATTGAAAACCAAAAAAAGAAATTGAATGGCTATTTTTTGTTTACATGACATAATTATTAACAATACCCGACCATGACCACTTTAAGAATCGATCAGAGAAAATTTCGGTTTTACACCAAATCGTTAGCTAGTAAGCCATCAGAACTTCAATTAGTCCTCAAGATCATCTAATGTCACTGGTTCAGACTGATCTGTCCTCCTAAAACGTCTGAATCTCATCAGCCACAACTTTCTATTAGAACCCTAAGAATTCATTACGAAGTATGAAAAAATTAAGTCACTGTAATAGTTTTGTTGGAGTGCTTTTACATAGATAAGTTGGCTTTAGATGTGCGATTTACTAGAGATTGTTTTGAAGATCCTCGTTCCAACTACTGGCCAAGTTATGGATGCACTTATCTGAGGAACCGCATAACCAGTTGTACCAACTGTTCTGTCCTCCCTGGTTTTAACGCTACTTCAACTAAAATTACTCTATGATGAATCCTACCCACAAATTAAGAATAATTTCCACACAAGTACTTCAGCCAAATGAAGAAATATTTTAAGTATAATATTAACAATAAAAGCTGAGAGATTCGATCATAGCAATATGTTCACTATTATTTATTCAACCAAGAGTTTAAATACTTCAAATAATCCATCATGTTTACAATTAAATATATTTAAGGAATTCTACCCTGTTTTACTGTGTTCTATAGTACCAACTCAGTAGTAGTGGTTCATTTTTACTACCAAAATAATTAAAAAACAAGGAAACCTGTTGAAAGTTGAAAACTAATCAACTGAGACTAGTAGTCATATTTAAAACTTGATTAGAAACAGTATCGACAATCAGAGACAAGTATGATATTGGCAACTACTTGATAATCGATTCATACAAAGTTTAAGTTACTTACTTATTAGTAAACTAATTGTTGGGAAGGCCCGAAAAATCCTTCGAAAAAAGCAAAAAAAGTTTCTGAAAACGTTGAGAAACACTCTACCTAATTAGCACTGAATAGAGGTTTCTCGGATACATCTAGAAAGTGAGAAGTCAAGTGTCACATTTCTGAGTGGGTGATTACCTATTCTGCTACTATGTTTAGTAGGGCTCCAGAACCTTCTAGAAACCCATGGCAATCTGAAATGCTATAAATATCCTAAATTTTCTGTACATAAACTAACCTTGGATTAATTTTCATTCGGCTATTTATTCTCTGAAGAAGTGGCTTAAACTAAGTCAAGAAACGTCAGAAAATCTTACTTTTCTACTCATTGGGATATTACAAATATGTTAATTTATTTATAACAATCTACTCGATGCTCAATTTATTCTAAATTATCAAATCAAACCTTGGCAATGATACCTACTTGACGTTAAGTGTTCTTCCTGTATTTTGCGCCTTTTCTCTCATGTTCTAGTTGTCGTGTAGATTTAGCCTGGGGTTATTAGAACAGCTTAGGAAATCGATTCAAGCGTTCAATCAGAAGATTTATCATTAATTTTATTGATGCAAAGCGACTGTGATTTTTTAAAAGATTCTATTTTTATGTTATCATATAGGTCATTTCAGATAAATATCCTGCTCAGATATAAATTTAATTAAATACGAAAAATTTCATATTATCTCATATGATAAATGTATCGAAAATAGTTGAAGATTAGATTTCATTTTTGAATAACTAGATCATTATAAAGTATCAAAGTTCAATAAATCAAATCTAATTTTCATTACAAACTGTTCTCAAGAAGGAAAGTGGACGAGACTATACTTTTATGGACGAACCAATCACGTATAAGATAACAGGTCTCGAATTTTGGCGTGAAATTCACTCATCCATTTGTTGGCATGATAGCTGATGTCAGTTTGTGATGTAAACTCTAAGTATAATTTCTAACCTTAATCATCACACAGGTTCATAATCCTCATTTGGTCCTAGTCACTAGGTGAACA